TGGTACAATATTGGCATAAGGTATTTTGGTACAACCTTGTAAAACTTTGGTGCAAAAATTAAGAACTCAGAGTGCCAGAGCGACCCTTTGATAGGCACGGCGTATTAAAGTTAAATTAATATAAATATGAATAATATATTATACTGATAGAATTATTAAAACAGTTGAGTGGAACTTTGTATTTTTATTTCTGGAGAGGGGACTTTGAACATTTGAAAAATTCCCCTCGCCCCATAAATCCGCTGATGGCATATTTGGCGAATCATTCTGTACACAATGTGCGCATATGTATGCGGTTTTAAAAAAGACAGCAACAGATTGCATAAATGTCCAATAATAAAAAAAAAACATCAGCAAACCGATATCATAACAACTATGGCCGTGTGTAGAAAATTCAAAACATTTTTCTTTTTCTCTTATCGAATAATATGTCGACGACTGCAGTTAAAGAAATGCAATCGACTACGTATTATTATTGTCGATTGCCGTAGATTATAGATATACAAACATTACAAACTTTATTATTATTATTATTTGGTAATTGGAGACGAAAAACAGGACAATTATTTAGAGGTGCATCGCGATGTCTAATAATAATACGACGTGCGATAATATTCACCGCGGGCTTCGTCTCGCCGATGAAACATTATCTGTAGCATTGCAATTTGCAAGACGCGTCGTAGGCACATTATTGTTGAATATTGTGTGAGCATTTTTCCTGTTTAAAGGTGGTGTATTATTACTATCATTATTTTCCAGAGGAATCCCACAGGTCGTTCCACGATAGATGAACGCACTGTGATGCTGTAATCTGCGAGTACTGAAATGTGTTTTTCCGTGTTTCCAACGTGAACATAAGATATTATTTTAATTGCCGAATAGAGTATTTTTTTTATTATATTCTTTCGAAATCAGTGGATTCCACTTATTTTATTTAGATTCGTATTATTATTATGCTGCTAAATTAACAACGTCTTTTTACAACTAAAAAGAGTTTGATTTATTTTGAATGGCATATCCTAATATTTATCAAGTATACGAATACGCGATAAAACCGTAGACAGTCAACCTTGATCTCCAAATTGAAATTTATCATTAAGAGGACTCCATGCCCGCATGCTTAGCCTCAGTTCGTAAACGCATAACATAACAAATTGTACGTACTGAATAAGTCACTCAACTCTGTTATGTTAATCTTAGAGTGAATTCATATCACCAAATTTAAAAGTAAGAACATTTTGAGATATACAGAGAATTTAGTATCTTAATATGCTTATAACTCGCTTTAAAATTAAAATATAAAAACAAACTTATGTCATCGACTTAATAATATTCTTACTTTTAAATTTGATAATAGGTCATCTCACTCTAAGCTTAAACATAACATAGTTAAATGAATTATTCAGAACTTACAATTTGTTATGTTATGCGTTTGTACGACATAGACGAAGCATGCGGACATGGCGTCCCCTTAACACAGTTACATAATAAACATACGTATATTATAAAATACTCTAATTACTTCAACCATATAATTCTTATCTCGTTATTGTCTGAAATAATCATAACAATTATTAAAGTCATTATCAATGTATTGAATTACAGTGGTCCTCGGGGTCATGTTCCGGGAACTTGAAATACGATTTATCGCTTCCGAGTTCAGAAAAAAGACACACTTCAATAATTCAACCATAAAGCCAATTCTCGTGAAACAGAGTTTCCGCCGAAGTCAGATTAAACGAGATAATACATTTTTTGTGTACAGTTATGCACACATGCTATCAATATTAATGAAATATTTTTAAAATAATCGATAAGATTGATCATAACCTATGAGATCGATTGAGTAAAAATAATGACCATTACATTTTAAAGTGTTTAAAACTTTAAAATGATATTTATTTGTAATGTTGTGTATTTATATAATATATACTATTTTTTTGTTCAAATTATATTATAAATTTATCATTTATCATAAAATGACAAAATATGCTAAAAATTTGTAAAATTAAGAAATATATAATCTTTTATTTTAATTTTTTTTTTTTTAGAGATTCTCAGTATAAACTATTATAACTCAACAACAATTACAGTGGATACAGCAAGAAAGCAGGTGAAATATACTCTTAAAATTACAAAATAAGTCAATAATCAAAACAAAAGAAAAACATCTAATGCAACAACTTCCTAACCCTACTGGTTGCTCACCTCACACGCAAGTCTTTTTTCAACATATTGTGTAACTGTGTGTAGCCAATGGATTTTATGTGTGTGACGTCCTCTTAAACAAACCTAGTTTAGTGTTGTTGGCTTTAGTATAAGACTATTTGAAAGAATTGATCAATTTTCAAACTTAAAGTTTAGAACGGTGTTTTGTTGGAAGTACATTTTTGGATTTTTATAGGTAATCCAATTTTCTGCGATACATTTGAAATAATTGGCAGCACATAATACCAACACAGCAACACTTATTTAAATTGTATACGAGAAACACATGTAACCATACTGTAGTTAGAACTATCTGAGAATCCTGTCTTTAAAAACGAAAAAAAAATATGTTTTTTAGGTTAGGTGTGGGTATAAAAATGTCAGCTAAAAAGGATAAACAGCAGTTAATAATTATTTTCCAACCACAATTTACAGTTTAAAACATTATTTAACAGTTTAATAAATTACAAAAATCGAACTTTGTTTAAGTACGATATTGTACTTATTTATATAAAAAAATTTTTTTTTTAACATTTATTTGGAAAATATACAATCTGTAAGGGTAATAAATTTACAATAAGCATATATGCGGTGTTTATGTGTTTTTACGTGAATTTACATGAGTTTAAGGAAGTACCCAACAGTAGTACTTATGACGTGACGGATTTATAAAAAATAAGAGTATAATATTTAACTGACTGCTCAGGTGAGCCATTACCATAAGCATTAGGCTGTCTATATTGATACACACATTTTAAAATACTTGAACGTTTTCTGGGCTTTGCAAATATTTCACCGAGCCTGCAGTTTGCTTTTAGCTTTCATTGAAACAACTAAACCTATTAAACATTCCTGCGGTCACTCAGTCTTATGGCGGAGACAGGGTGATGTCTGCCGTCTGGTTGTGTAGAGGTGTGCAAACATTGTTTAAGGAGTACCATCCAAGTGCTGTGTAGGTACTGACATACTGCATACATTCACTGTGTGTGCCACACTGCCCACACTGCCACCGTATAATAATAGCGGTAGTTGGTGTGTGCAAAATTAGAAGGTATGGATTATGTACCATGTACTTATGTAAGTATCATTAAATAACTTAAGAGATCATCGACGCATTATTGTTTTCTGTGTGACCCATATGATGCAAACGAAACTTGTGATCAGCGAATCAAATTTTTTGCAGTTAGTTTTGATTTTAGAGTAAATTGACTAATTAACAAATTTCAAAACAAGAATTTTATCTAGGGCAAAAATATTATATTTTATTAATAATTTTAATTTAAAATTTGATTATTACAATATAAAAATATACGGTTTTAAATGCCCATCGCATGATTTAAAATAAATTAAAATATCATTTAAAGTATGTATTGGGATGATTTAAATAATATACTTATTCCTAAGTAGTTAAGTTAAATAATAACATTTACCATAATATTAAAGCCAACAATACCTGATTAGATCTGCTTAACACCAAATTGATATGTTTCTTGTGAGTTAGAGCAGCGATACATAGGTATACTTTATAATGGTAAAGGGTCGCTGAAAATCTTGGTGAAATTATAGAAGGACCGCTGTCTCAAATGATTGAGAACCGCTGGGTTAGTGAATAAAAACAAATACAACAAAGTATGTTTAGTAATTTTTAATAATACATTACAGCTGTTTTAATTTTTTTTTAATTTTTAGGAAGTATTGACCACTATGCAGTAAAAAATGTCATATTTGCAAGTTCCTGCTTAACTGCTACAGATATTTGTTATTCTTTACTAACTAAAGTCTAAAAGTTATACAATTATCGAATGATTAATATATTATTATTATATTGTTTACTGAAGAGTTCTTCTCCTTCTGTCAAAGAGAAAGAGAAGATAGATTTTACGGCTAAATGATTTTATGGTGTACAACGACAACAGGTGCTGTTGATCAAAACTTTCAAAATGATAATGAAATCACTTGAATTGGATAATGGAAAGTTCATGTATTTTTCCACATACTTGATAGTAATCAATATGAAACCTGAGATTTTCTAAACATGGTTTAACATTGGCCAAGTCGGTTGAAAGTTTTTTAGAACTCAGCAAAGCCCCCCGCCCCCTCCCAGATTATTTTAATCTTTGGTTTTATATAATTTTGGCCCCTGTAACTATTTGATTCTAGTTACGTCTTTGAACATGATGTAAATTCGTAGTGATATGAATACAATTTGTTCGTCTTTCCATAAGTAATCGCCGAAATTATGTATTGCTATAGGTTATCTGATTTTTGTAGGCTGTAGTGGCTTAAATTATGAATTAGAATGTCTAAAATGTAACTATAGGCACGACGATGCAATATTTAATATTTGATAAGTTTTGCACAGAAGCAATAATGTTTTGAAAGTTGTGTTGTAATGATAGGTAGGTCTAAGAAATGCGTAAATATTAATCACTTATAACTAATAAGTTGCCGAGTACAATATTATAATTTAAAGAGAAATCGGCATGTAATTAAAAAAAAATTAGTTTTTAAAAGATGAAAAATCAATAATAATAATATAATGTAATTAATATGTTACGAATAAAGTCTCTTTGTATTTCATACCTCATAATAATCATAATGAATACGAAGTTAATCTTAGTTAAGTACTGTTATCAACAACCATATTGAGATAAATTCTAATCATAAAAATGGCTCTTAAAATAGTATGTAATCAATAATAATTATATACTATGAATTATAAATCCAGTCGTCACATATAATTTTCGTCTGTAAGTACTCTGCGTCAATTAGTATTATAAAATAATATTCAACACAATATTATAATGAACATAATATTGCACCCACTATTGAGGTTTGCTGAAATATTTTTTTTATAATTAGTAAATTACGTAAAGAGGTGAATTTTGTGGAGGTGGTTTTTTTCATATATTTCAATTTTGAAGTGAGTTACGTTCATTTTTATAATGTAATAATTTACTCACTTACCACTCGCTGTAAAATTAAAATATCAAGAAAAAAATGCTTTTAAGAAAATATTACCTTAAAGCTTATTTATGGGTTAACCAACTTAATAAGGAGGATATCCATCGATAATAGAGTTGTCGTGAGCCGAACAGTATATAATAATTTAAAGGATGTTCACAAGTAATTAAAATATTATGTGTATAATTGTATAAAAAACAATTGAGTTTTAAATAACATTTAGTTAAATATTGTAATATTACGGGTGTATCCATAATCTACTTGAAATTGACTGGCGATGAGAGAATTGTTCTCAGTTCGTGTGGTGCGCTCTAGAAGACCATTGATGTGAATCGCTTGTCCGGATGTAGCTGCTGATAGATGGCTACATCGATATTGAAACAGTAGTCGGAATTTTACACAAATATACCTAATAATATATTCTAAATTATTTAACTTAATAATTAAATATTTTATTGTACAATGGTTGAGGTTTAAAATCAACGAACTTAAAAGTTTAAAAGGTCAAATTCTAAGTTTTTAAGATTCTGAGAGAAACAACCGTATTGATTTTACAAAGATGTGTTCTATGTGTGTACATTATGTACTATTTTAATACAGTCAAAATAATGCTTTGAATTTCCACTTCAGTATTTTTTCTGGTGAAAAATTGAATATAGTTAGAACTTTTGACAGGTCAAAATAGAAAGTTCCCAAGAGCTTACAAAATGGGATCTTTTCCGCAAAACCAGTGTTAAGTAAAATCAATTTTGTTAATTTATTGTAATTCGAAAACAAATAAATAAAGAATCTACGGAGTAGACATTTAAAGTTTTCAACAAATGTTTATATTAGCATTTTATGTACATATTATGATATAATTTAAAAATTAATTTGTCTCTTTTTGATCTATTTTTAATTTATTTATTTTCTATAAATATTTTGTTCGGTCAAAAAGCTTAAAAATAAAGTAGAAAGTAAAAAAGCAGTTAACAAACTAGAATGTTTTAATCATTATGTGGCTAAAAATAAATAACATTTTTAATATTCAAAACTATATTTTGAAATTGTATTTTTCCACGTACAATATGAAGTACCTATCTATCAACGATTTCAAAGGATGTTTTTTAAAATACTGAATATGCTTAAAGTGTTATATAATAGATAAATCCACGAAACAAACATAGTTCATTTTTAATAGAAACCAACATTTTCACATTCGTACAAAATAAAATACAGAAGATTCTTAATTATGTCAAACGTCGCTATCTTGAATTTTTCGTTATCTCAAACTAAATTGAATTCCCCTTGAAACTACTATTACGCTTAATAGTATTTTCTCTTGATAACTCGATATAAAATTAATCGTTTTTCGTTGTATCAAGTACACAATAGAACTACAAAATGAGGAGGAAGTCACTTTTGAAGTTACTACAACATGCTTTAAAAACTGTAAGGAATTTTGTTGATACCACTGCAGCGAGGTATGGAAGATAAGGCTTTTTCTGCATTATCTAATTTGGAAGACGTTGAGCAGAAAAATGTAATATTAAGCACACTTTAATTACAGATTAAAAAATATATATATATATTTATTCGGTCATTTCTATTATTTCAGTATTTTAAGTATTCAAATTATGTATTTTAAGCTTTCGTATTATTTATTATTCACATACATATGTACATTTTTTTTTAAATTTTTTAATAAGACTCGGTATCTCGAACTTTTTCCTGTTCCTCTTGAAATTCGACATAATGATGATCAGAAAATTTACTGAAATATCTCCATTGTTATAGATTATACATTCTTAAATTTTAAACTTGTTTTACAACATATAATATTTATTATGTTAGAATAAATAAAGTAAATATTTCACAAATCAGTTTGGTCCGTCATTAAAATTATTCTAAAAAGCTGATAAAACCTATTAGCCAATTATACATATAAAATGTGGTGATATAGAGATATTAGTGTATTACGGAGTAATATCTGGACTTTATAATTCATTTAGGGCACATATTTTAAACATTAACATTTGGCTCTATCAAAATTTGAAAATAAAATAATGTCAGTGTGTTATTAATATTAATTATATTAAAACACTAAAAGAATAATAAAACATTTTTTAGTTGTTCAAGATATTCTATAATAATATACATTATTTATATTTAATTTTCTTTAGTATATAAATATATACCTAGTTATACAATAGAATAGGTAGTAAAAAATGATATAATAACTTAGAAATGTGTAAATAGGTACAGAAGGTATACAAAAGTAAAATAACATAATAACAAGTAAGAATCACGCTTTACATTCACAAATAGTTTTCATTTTCATCTCGTGTGATGTCATTGATTCAGTTCCATTGAGATCAGGTTGAACTGCATAGATAAAAACATTTTAAAAATACATCAATTAATTTATATACTATTAATTTTATTGTAATTCAAGTCTTTAATCAAGGGAAAATTAAGAATCTCACCACTTGTATATAGGCTGTGATAATTTTACACTTTTTTTCATTAATTATCAACCCCTAACTATTTCATCCTTCATTTCCCCAAAAATATTATTTATATTTACAACAAGCCTGATTATCTATTTTAAAATAACTTTAAAATTGAATAATTTAGAGTTGATGGTAAATTGTAATTACTTTTAAGACAAAACAATAAGTTGTGTTATCAATCATTTAAGTTATAAATTAATAAACCTTAAATTAAACAGAAAAACAAACTGTGAGTATTCCTACTGTATGTATACACAACAAGTTATGAATTATATTATAATTAAATGCATTTATCTACGAATGTATAATATACTTTGTATGAACAAGTTTTTCTCATACTACATAGGCCAAAAATTCAATGGACGCTTATAATTATTGTTCAGTGAATATAGTAAAATATTTTTCATCAAATTAAATTATAAATTCGTACTAAGTGGATTTTTTTATTTTTACCGAGTTTAAAAATTCGGTTTCCGTGAAAAGATTGATTTTACTAAGACATGGGCACATGTCTACGAAATATATTGTAAAGCCTAAGGTGTATACATACTAAAATTAAATTTCTTGATAGAATCTTGAAGCTGAACCATCGACAAGATTTTAACGTTCAGCGTAGCTTCCAGTATAGCCGCTACACATTCCTTGGCGTTCATCAGTTCTAATTGACATGACTCGGATTTCAGTTCATTTATCAACGATTTGATTCCCTGAAAAAAATAACGAAGAGATTAAAATACGACGCGTCAAAGTATACTATTTTTTTTTTATGTGTCGCTAGCTGATTACAAGAGAATAAAAGATAAAACATTATAGTATAATTACTACCAGAACTAATTATTACTGTACGTAGCAAACAAAAAACATTTTTTGTTTCAAGCGTCTTCTGTCGGATGACGGGTAGTCGTAATAAGTGAGTTACCATACCAAAAAAGTTTGAAACGCGCTCAAGCACCAATAACAGCGGTTGTATTAAAATTATATTACATAAATTTTAGGGCAAACACAAGTACTTGGGCAGCAGTGAAGTCGGTCTTGTCGAAATGTACGCAGTCCACGATTATGAGTTTCGGTTTGTTCGAGCGTTCCGTTGACGACATCTCAGCAATGATCCGCTGTCGCATAAAGTCCACAGCCGGAAACAGTAGCCCGCTGCTAGGCCTAACCACCCATTTCACGTAACCCGAGTTCTGAAAAAAAAAATGAGTTTGTAAATCGAATTCAGTAGGTGTATAATGTGAGAATAATATGCTGTAACAGAGTTTTGTTATAATTATTGGAAAATTCTAATTATTTTTATTATTGCGCAGATCACAAAATTGTGAACTTATATAGAACAGGATTAAAAAATAAAAATAATTTACATTTTTTGTTCTTGTCTTTTTAATTTCAAGTGGTAACATTTTATTTAAAATGTTAGTAATTTTTATTTAAAAATCTTGGCATTATTAAGAGGTATTTATCTATGAAAACGAGTGATACCTATACTAAAGTAGTATTATGAGTATTATGATGATTAATACATTTTTATTGTTGAAATAAATGATTGATAGATAAAAATGTATGTTTTGTGTTTACTCACAGTTTCTTTTTCGATGGAAATCGATGGTCTAGCGCTGCGATAGAGCACGCACAACAAGTCGACACAGATGCCGAACAGAAGTCCAAGCTCAACATCGAATATCAAACACGAGACGAACGTGGTGGTGAACGGTATTAAATCACGTCCTGTGTAATAGAACCCAATGTGAGTTTCAGTAGGTAATAGTCACTAATAGATAATATAATTGTGGTCTTAACGTGTACTTTGGCATAGTTAACATTGTTCTATAATTAAATTGGTACGTTTACCTACATATTTTGTTAATATTAACTAACGTCGGCCAGTATAAAGTGACCCATTACACGTACCATAGTGTACCAGTGACGCACATAATATATAATATCTGTACGATACGTTTTATGTTTCAGCGTAAACTTTTATAGCAATTTTTTATACATTTGTAAAAAATAATAGTGTAATATCGTGGTATTAATATCAGAATATCACGGTTACATAATGGTACTATGGAAATCGACAGAGATAACTCCAAAATTCAAAGTACGAAATAATTAACACGTTGTCATCTATCTAATGAGCAACGTATATTACGTATATCTACCAAGTCTAAGTTGAGATATCTATGATGGGACACTAAAGTTTAAAGACCTATTATCGAATTTGAAGACTAGTATATATTATTTTTGAGAGAATTTCAACATAAACATTTTATGCAATTTTCCATCAATATTTAATAATATAATACAACCGCTAGGCAGTAGTATAAGAAAACGTCAAATAAACTTTGTGTATTCATTTTTTCGTTACACAATAGTAGCTTTTAAAAACATTTTAATTACGTCTTTAAACACTAATATTGGTTCTCATTTTTTATTTTTGTTGGTACTTGTCAGACAGACACAGTATTATAAACACATTATGTATCATGTCCTCATAATAACTTTACTCATATAAAAATAAACTTATGGCAATATGACGTAACATAGTTGTGCACAATTGTGACTGTGATAACAAGACTAAATTCGTATGCTATTATTATTTTAATTTATAAACTCAATGTATAACTAGGCCCTAGACCCCCATATAAGGTTTACTTATACATTATTATAATATTTCGTATGTGTAAGTTTAAAAGTAAAAATATACTGAATAAAGAAATGTAATAAAATGTAACTTTCTGATACAACATTGAGAAAAGTTAACAGATGAATAACATCATAAATAAACATCATTATTTTTAAGTCTTGATTGATTTACAATATACTTTTTGTTCTTGATATAATACGAGTATTAACATTTTTGAATCTAGAAAAACGTAAGAATGCGTTTTATTCTTTTTAATTATTTCTTATTTATAGCTAAAATATAAAATCAAGATTAAATATTTGGGAAATCGAAAATTATTTTACTAGTTATGTAATATTAATACTACCTACCAAATATTTATAAATATATATTAAAATGATGCGTTTTATAAGGTTAATACATCTGACTTATACAGAATAAGACACATATTATTATGTAGTCTTTTAGATATATATTATGCTCTCATTAATTATAGACAATTTAATTGCAAAGTTGTAGATCACATTATAATTGTACTGTTACTTACTATTGGTTTTCCATAACGAAATTGCCATGTCATATCGAAACATTGAAGTCACCGCACATATGAGGACAGCAGACAAACTTGACTTGGGTATGTAATACAGAAGTGGTGTCAAAAACCACAACGACAACATGACTAATATAGCTATAAATCAGTTTTTAAAACGTTGCAATGTGTGTAGAACGTGCGATTTAATGTTTGACAATTTACTTGTAAATATTGAGCTGAACGTTGTACGAACACCGGTGGTATGATTAAGAGCAGACCTGGACATACTTCCCGCTACGGGCATAGATCCCATAAACGAGGCAAAAATATTACAGAATCCCAACGCTATCATCTCTTGTGACGCATCAACTACTCTTCCACCGCCTAGGAAGAAGAAAATAATTACATAATTGTTTTATTGTTATTACTTCATGATACTCCATCAATTTAATGCGAATTAACCAGATTGTATGTAACAGACATCTTTAACATTTCCCATCTATAAAATATTGCATAAGACCTCAAACTTTTTTATCCACGGAACCACAACTTGTTATTGAGCTTTCGACAGTAGGTTATTACAGCTCGACAATTAGAACCACTTCTTTGTTCAATATTTTTAATGTTTCATTGTAATTGAGCATTATATTTTACAATACTAGTTTTAATAATTTGTTAAATTTAAAATTTAAAATTTTGAAAAATGCACAAGTTTTCGGAATTTTGAAGTGATCTCCACGGAACCCTGATTAAGAAACGCTATATTAGACACGCAACTCAGGTCAATGCATTTGAAATCAAAATATAAACCAGTAATTTTATTAAAATGTAGCATCACTGTATACTAGCTATTGATTTAGTTGATGTGTATATCGTATTATTTAAAATCTTAAACTATAAAACCGTTCATAGGTACACAACATAAATGTGTGAAATGCGCACGCAATGCAGTAGACTCAAGTAGGTAGAATGAGCAACAAGTGAATGTGACAAAAACCCACAAGTAGTCAGAAAAGACATCAATATTTAATTTGTGGAAGAATACCGATAGTTAGCATTTAACATCCCCAAGCACTGTTCGCAGGGTTATCCTACTGGCTACTACAGTATGTAATAATAATAATGTACTATAGTACATAGAAATTGAAAGTCGGATTAACTTACTAAATGCTTTAGCGACTGAAACTGTACTCAAAATCGACACCAACGGCACGACGATCGCACCAGGCCATAACCTGGACAAACCTTCGAAAAAGGTAAACTTCTCGTCTTCGTTTTCGTAGTCCAAAAACAGTAACCGAAATTGTGGTATGCCACTAGCTATGGTACCTAAACATAAGTAACAGTGCACATAAATATATTTTATTTACGATTTAAAATACATTACTGTTTTCGTAATGTAATATACCTGTCAATACTAATGGTGACTGGCCTTGTCGGATTGAAAAATATGCGATTGTCGACGATACGATGACTACGAGAACATTGCTTCCAGTTGTCAATAAAAACAAAATCACCGAAAAAGATTTTGCTTTCATTCCTTTAGCGTTGACTTTTATGTATTTTAAGCTCTATGAACAAAGCACGATGTATACACTGACTTTGGTTTACACCATTCATTATGTTATGTACACTCACCTGCAATCCTACCAGCACGAAGATACATATCAGTCCCATAGAGGTGTCTGCTATTCGAAAATTTTCAATGTTTTCAACAAACTTTATCCACATCTCCAAACAGTTTTTGGCCTTATAAGATATTCCGAACAATCCTTTTAATTGTGAGGAAGCCATAAGAATAGCTGCAGCCGATACAAATCCACCCGTCACTGGCATCGATACGAATTCCACGACAAATCCTACATTGGAGAGAAGAAAAACATTTTCAGACATTATTAACTTATGCGAGAATCATAGACAGGACGGACTAAATAAGTTACGCTCACTATATACTAGTTTAGCTATAATCCATATTCCGTAGACTGTTGAATTTAACACTATTAATATTTGCGGAGGTAAAATATTACGCGTTTATTCATTTCTATTTTAATTTTCGAATTTGTAGAAATACAATATTAATCTCCAAGCACACAATAGTTATTATACCATCGCAGTAAATTTAAGTTAATTTAAAACCAATTAGTCTAGAATTTGGGAAGATGCTTGAACGATATTTTAAATGCAGATGCGTTGAAAAATGTGTAAGTTACTTATGTAAGTATTATAGTCAGTATATGTGTATGTTATTTGCCTTGTATTACACCATCGATATATCCACGGAAAATTGCATCTATTGCATGTCAGAAGTGTATATCACTATTATATAATTACTGCGATTGTTTTTATACAATACTTTTTCTATGAATTAAGTGTTTTATTTTAATTTAAAGTTTATGCAGTCTACATTAATTCTGTACATCTAACACTGTGGTAATAAAATATTTTATATGATTACTGTACGGGTGTACACAGTTGGTTAGGATAAACCATTGTTCTATTCTGTGTTAGTGTAATTCTACGTTACGTCCGTATAATATTATGTACCCGAATAGGGCATTAAGAAAATTGCTACTGCACGCGTCGTATTTAATGTTTGCTATTGTTAATGCAGTCTCTAATCAGTCTTCGAACAACTTGCATTCAAGCATATTATCCAAGATGGCATAACGCCTGATTATAAACTGAATAGGTACCTATAAACGATATTTACATTGATAAAATAATAAAAGACATTTTTTTTGTCCTTATAAATTACATTGTTACTAACAACACAGTTGAATGGAAATAAATTGCTGTGCGATCGTATTTCACTGATAACAAACTTGGTGTACCTAAGCGGAAAAGTCCACAGACGAGCTCGACAATGCCTGACACAAAGCAGAGAATAACCGCCGTAGCTGGTAGCTCTGGATTGACGTAGTTGAAAGTGAGCAACGCAACAACAGACGTAGGCCCGATAGTAATTTGACGTACAGATCCAAATATTATGTACATCAAGCTACCGAAGCATGCAGCATACAATCCAATCTATAATAAGACGATTTATAATGGTTAGCACATCGCGATTAGAAAATATTTAAATATTATTTTAAGTACCCTCGATTAATGATCAAAGTATTTGGACATTCTTTTGCCAAATTTTAAAAAAGCTGTGAAAGTCAACTATGGAAATAGTAAAACAAAATTACTATACCATTTATATAAATACTATCTGATCCCGTGCACTTTGTTGCCCGTTGAAAATGCCAACTCCATATAAGACTCAATGGTTATATGTGTATATTATGCCTACCTGCTGTGGATTTGAGGACCCCGCTGATGAGTACTTATATTTATATAAATAATATTTTTAATTTTTATTTTGATTGCGGACACGCCAATGAGCGGCCATAAGTGCAACTCAGCCACCTTGGTAGGCAATGTGCGAAAATTCGATTCTATGCGTGCGCATACCTGATCTGCCCGATGAACCACTGCAGGCAACCAATAAACAAACAAAAAAATACCAATTTCTACTAAATATATTTATATTTCTCCTATAACCAATAGCAACCGCATACAAACAAATATTTCCTTTGTAAATCTTAAAATCCCTGTTTGGGCAACTCCCCGGGTCGGACCTATCGGGTCCAATCGTGAATCTAAACCATCCAAGGCGTCACCCAAACGCATTCAAAAAAAAATTCTTTCGAATCGGTCCAGCCGTTTAGGAGGAGTTCAGTGGCATGCACGCGTACAATAGAATTAAATACATAAAGATATCATACAATAAACTCAAACGGTATATATTATTTAAAAAAAAAAAAAAACATCTGCAGAACAATTAAAAGTAAAAGATCGGGGGGGGGGGGGGGTTATCAAATGAAAATATGAGTTGTTTTACATGCATTCGAAACCACGGTCTTAATGTACACATCAAACATTTTAAAAATCAGGATTTTGAAGGGGAAAAAAAGATGGGTGAGCACGGATGGCGAATAATCATCTTGTACGGGTATACACGTGATCAGGTGCACTTACGAGTGGGTCCAATCCCGCCAGCGACGCGTAAGCTATAGATTGAGGCATCAGCGTGAGCGCGACAGTGACACCCGACACGGCGTCATACAACATGTCCGACTTCTTGTACCTTGGCATCCATGTCAGTATCGGCAAATAGCTGACCAATAAATAGTGTAGCCGGTCGCCACAAGATCCTGTGTGCACCATGATGGCGGTTTATATCCTCGGTCCGGTGATGTACTGATCGTCGTGCATCAATCGTTTTCTGTACGTTTTGTTGTACGTTTGTTGTACGTTTACTGGTCGTGAGGTGCGGTTACAGCAGCCAGGTGTCCGGGTAAACACTGCTGCAGACAAGTGGAAACAGTCGACTGTAAGAAAATAAAACGAACATACGCTGTTGAGACATTATTGCCGTGTTATACGAACAGAGCAGGTAGTCTGGTGGTTATATAACGGTCATATTTAATAATATAATATAGTGATTTATAATGTATTTTAAGGAAAAAAAAAAAATACTATTTTGCGAACAAAATTAATACGATGTTTCGTTTTTTTTTTCCTCATACACCTAAATGCGCGGTACAATAATATGTTTAATTTATATTGTGATTGACTTTATAGTGTTTTGCATAATAACTGTAATTTTTTTAACACATTATTAAGGAAAAAAAATTTCCCACATCACTATAGTTGTAATCATTTTAATTTAAACTCGTAGTAAAGTGGCTGTAAACGTCATATAGTTGTCTTACTATAATACTTTTTTTTGGTGTGTGCCCACTGTGCCCTGTGTGATTATATAACATTACATTGTCGTTAATACTTTATGGATGAACAGATAAAACAACATAACGAGTTTATACTTTTATAGTTTATGAATAAAACAGTTATAATTTGTATCCGTGTTCATTTGGTTTCTTCGTCAAATAACTCGTACACAATATGAACCGTACTTACACATATTATATATATATACCAATCTTGTGATTTCTTTCATAAGTTGCTACTATCGCCAAATTAATAATGACATAAACGTCGCAATAACCTATGTTATTAATATATTACTATACGTATTACCAATTAACCGTACTCCGCATTATAATGTACTATAAGACACCGTTAATTGTATTTCATAATATTAATAACCGTGACTCATACAATACACAACATACAAATCAGTAAATTTAAGCTAAAATTCATTCAACACTTTTGAAAAATTCGGCATGAATAGTTAATTTATCATGATATTATAATACTTTTGATTCGCATAATTATGTTGAACGTTTTGTTATGTAATTTGCTGGCTTAAAATTCTAATCTCATTCTGTAACCTAAAATCTAGCATTATTCATCAAGATCTTGCAACTTAACGAAATAATTATAACCAACAAATATAATTCTATTTTCAATTTTCAATTTATTCGTAGAAAAAAGAGTTTCTTATAACTTTAAGATTTATAAATTTGCTATATATATATTTAATATTTTTATTTTACTTAAAAATAAAAAGTTAAACATAAACATTTGTGATTAATATACTGGTTTTAAGTGATGTGAGTAGAAACTGTTACAAATATTGCTATGGGTTTCACATGTCACTATGCTTTAATATTGTCTCAAAAACATAAAATAACCATTTAAACGAATAAAAATAAATTAATAATGATTGAAGTTTTAATTGTAAAATAAAAAATACACAATTGATATACCAAACGTTAAAAACATTATCATCTATAATTTGTTGTGTAATTGGTGATTTTACTCTAAGATTATTCAAAAACTATAAACATCGATTTTGAGCAAAGGCGTCAAGACGTCTAGTCTATGTTTGTGTGGGTCAGAGAGAGAGAGAGGTAATAATATAGATGCAAAAAGTAATCATTTAAAATGTGATTATTTTTTTAAATGCTATAAAACTATCTCGGCTTGAAACCTACTAAAAATGTACATTTAATATTAGCTGTATAACCTGTTTTCACTTGAGGAAAAAATGAACAAGTATTATAATACTGCGCTATTTCGGTTTATCTATCTCGGAATTAGTGTGGGTACAGTTCACTGGCAAATTGGTGTCGGTGTCGGGTAATTCGACCGAGATGGGAATTCGTCTGCGCATACTATTTGTATACTTCCGAACATGATTCATACTACTCTCTAAACTTTTCTGTTATTTCTTAAAACAATATTTCAAAATCGTGTGAGCCACTCTATACACCAACCTACACAGAATAAAGGTTGAAATCGAATCGATAGCACTCCCAAAAACCTCAAAGAATATGTGTGTTAAATGTAATGCTAATTTGTTGCCAAGTCCAAGAGTTCCTTTCTATCAGCGAGAGAATTTTTCGAATCGGTTTATTAGTAACCCAGATTATCCTCTACAAACAAAACAATTTTACCTCTTTATAATATTATATTCTAGATTATCGTATCCAACGTTTACGATAAAAACATTTTAAAGGCATTCAGTATGGCGACCGCAATTTGTAATATTTATAATTTTACTGCAATGGTTGAATCCTTATCGATTATGATAATGTATATTATGATATGCGCACGCAAAGAATAATGAACATTTTGCACTACTAAAATTCGTTAAAAGCTAATAATAATAAAAAATAATAATAACCACTTTAACGTGAAACGAAACTACACGGTACGCTGGCTCTATGTCGACTGAAACATTGGTGAACATATTATTTTCACAAAACAAATGAATATCAGTCCGTAATAGTCAGTAATTAAACTTATTATAGCCGTCGATTAATTCAATTGTATGTGAGTTAAATTATTAACAATTAGGAAAGGTGGTGAGATAAGCTAATACAATCAAGACACGAGCTTAACGACGACGAACCAACGAATTTTATCATTGCATAGACGTACTCAAAAAATACTAGTAAATAGTAATATTTCTGAATTATATAACAATTAATACCTTCATAACTTACCATCCAACTATATTCAGGTGTTCCTGCAGACTTTTACACAAATTACGGTATACACGACATATCTAGGTATATTGTTTAATGTTTACAACTATCCCTCTTCTCTTGGTACTAGATCCTTTTTAAATTTAAATTTGATATTATTATAGAAGTTTTAAAGTATAATAAAAATAAAGCTTAAGAATGCGGACAGTCTCTGCACGACGATATGAAAACAGGTTATTTTCCAGATTTTGCTGTGCCATGGTATTTAATCCTCCACTTCACCCCTTGTGTGGTTTTGTCAAAACCACTATCACTACCAATCTCGATCATTAGTTTAACGTGGTAGTCATTTTTATATTTAAATCTATACACAATGGTCAATGACGCGTAAATTTGTAATGATTTTTAACCAAACGAGTAATTTTTATTTACATTTAAAAAAAAATAAATAAATAAACAAACAAACAAACAAACAAACAAACAAACAAAATACGAGAGAACATCTAAGCAAAGATGGTTTGAATTTTCACAAACCAAAAATTATTTTAATAATTATTTTAAAATGTTAACAATTTTTCTCATTTTAGATTTTGATCGAAGAAATGTATTATATAATTAGAGAATGTATTTATTTTATAATGATATATTTTTATTAAATTTAAAGCCTTGATAACAGGATAATTAGGCTTGTATTACATACTAAAATTACTTAAGCTAAACTGTATAATTTAATATATTTCATTGAAGATAACATTTTTTAAACTGATCCTTCGTTAGTGAAAAGTGTGTCGTGCAGGTACTCAGATATGTTGAATTTTTGGGCATGGCCGTTTCCGCCATAAAAATGGTTCCCTGACTTACGAATAGCCCTTTTCCAGCATAAACAAAAAGTTACCATTATTCCCGTTTCTGACAAAATGTATTTTTGTGAAAAAACGTTTCTGTTAAATTATTATTTGGGAACCATGTATAAATATTGCATATTCTTATCTTATGAAAATGTCCTTATCGTTACATAATTGCATATCACATATCCACTATATTGAAATATTTGGATATTTCAAATTATAGTACAAGTAGACAATAATACATTAGTCGAATATATACACAATTGAATTATAGTTTTTAAAACATCACATATTCGTTATTATGAAATATTCAAAAATGTCACAAAAATTATGAATATTATAATACAAGTATAGTTAGAACGGTATTATCTGTTTGACACGCAGAACAGATACTGAATCGAAATATAAGAATTTAACATTTGTCAGATAATAATATTGTGTGTGAATTATAAATAAACTATGATACAGTTTCTGTTTCCGTTATCGATGATTATCACTGCATATATTGTTGTACCTATAGTCTCCGCAATTATTTACAAAATAATGTCATTACATGTTATATTACTATATTTTATACGTATCATTATGACATGTATTGCTTAAATTTTTTTTTTTATTGAAATTGTATAGTTCACAATTAATTTCGACAGTTAAGTGTACACGCTATAGTAATTATATAAGCAACCCAGACTTAAAAATGAAAACCATTGGTTTCAAAAATGTTTTATCGGGTACGTCTTTTGGCAGCAACGTGGAAATCCCGAATTTTTATCTGGCCTCTCTTGTGTGTCTCTGGATTCTGCTAAAATGTGTTTGATTGAACTCGGATAGCCTCATATTTGCCATGTTCTGGGTGGCTTTTTTTTCATAAGATGGTAGCGTTTACTGTGTATGACCTATTCTGAGATGATTTAGTAAAACTTCGTCTCTTCATTTGAAAAACATAGGATTATTCCATTTATCTGTAATATTTTTTATTTCATTTAATTTAGTGTTTATTTCCCATTTATTTTTAAATCGGTGGTAGATGATGTTTTTAAAATCTTTGTCTGAGTTTATATTCCATAGATGTTGTTGGTGTGGATTGTTTGCTTTTTCCTTAGCAACTACGTCCACTCTTTCATTACCAGTTATTTATTTTTGTCAGTTTGAAATGTTTTAATGCTTCAATTTTTCACAACGGCATCTTTTCTGGTGAAAAAGTGAAACTAGTTAGTACTTTGGGAGGTTTTCAAAAGCTCCTGGAAAAAAAATATTAAAATTAAATAATAACGAAGATTTTGTTTTTGGGTGTAAATCTACTAAATATATTTTACATAAATAAAATTATTATGTACCCATAATTGACACACACTTGCCAGTCCCTATGAATATAATATTAATAGGTCTATATAGTATGACTCATATTACATGTTATATTACATAATATCCATTTGATTCACTAAAAATGGTTTGAATAACATTTTATTACGCACAGCGAATAGAATAATCTTTGTCAGGCCAAGAAGCCTATGAGTTACTACTTTGACGAAACCGACTCAATAAAAAAAAAAATGGCAGTCAGTCTAGGACAGAAGTTTCCAACCTTTTTATTTGTGTGGGTCACCAATTATGTAAAAAAAACTTTGTAGACTACTTACTTAATGTACAGGTATAAAATGCAATACCAAAACATCTATATTCACTTTATGAATATAAGGTGGTTATTAATTATTATTAATTAAAAATTACCTAATCTAACCAGAAATAAAGAGGTGCATAAAATCATATAAAAATCCAGGCGTTGATGACAGTTAAAATTACCCTTTGCTTAGACCCTCGATAAGCACCCGTGGACCAATACCACGTTGTCTGCGGCCCATGGGTTAGGTTTAGGAACTTCTGGTCTAGGATATAATCTACATGGCTGAAAATATTCGAACAATCGTTTGAAAGCTTAGATGATTCTGATCAAACAACGCTATAGACTGAATAAATACAATCCTAATAAATATTTATCTATAGAATCAAAAGTATTAATCTGAAATCGGTGAAGCAAAACATCAATTAACGATACCCAAAAAAAATGTTACTGATAACAGTGATAAAACAAGTTGAAACAATACAACAAGTGGTTCGCGTTTTGACGAGTTTGTACAAATTGCAATGTGTTTGGGGAATTTAACATAATGTTTTAGGGCGAGTGATTTTAAAACATTGTAATGTGTTTGGGTGACCTTTTTAATATCATGTTATTTGATGCGTTTGGGCAGTATTTTATCCTAACTTCCCGTTTTGACAGACTTTGGACTGTTCATAAATTCCACGGACCACGGATAAACGAATAGATCCGAACTTATAGG